AAGCAGCATCAGGGACTGAACTCAACTGAAAGCACTTGAAATCTGAGCTCCCACCTTTCGGCAGGGATCTAGGATGAGTGGCGGTTGGCATTCCAGCTTTCCTTTAAAAAATTTCACGTTGTGTGGAGTAACTTTTCCTTGTACTTCAGGGATGGTGGGATCACAACACTCTCCCCAGCTCGGTGTTCTGTCCACTAATAAAGAGTCTCAGGGTATAATGGCTGCTTCACTCGATTTCACTGTTGTATGCCAAAATTGATCCCAGAAGGATGTTCACTCCAGCTTGTTGGTTTAGTGTCAAGTTTGTTCTCCAGTTTAGGTGTTTTAACTGATCCATGGGATCAGCTGTTGAAACCTCAACGTGATGCAGCCTTTAGTATGTGAATGGATGTTGAGATACATCGCTGAAACTATTACCTTTGGAAAAGGTGAAATGTTAGTGCCATTTTATGAACGAGTGAGGCTTTATCTGGAATAGCATGTGCGTATGTTTTGGTTGCACACTTGAGAACGATGAACTCAAACTGAAGAGATGGCACTGTCAAGAAGAGGGGAGCTTCTAGGGTAAATGAGTAAATCAGAAGAATCCAGTTTGTTTAACGTGCAGATGAATTAAGAATCAAATGTCCGGAAAGACCTGTTGAACCTAGAGCGTCTTTTTTGCACCAGCACAGATGGGCAAGACGTGGCTTTGTGTAAACACAGGCTGCAAATTGGAGGAAGCTTCAGCACAGTTAGAGGAACATGGTACTGGACGTGATGGTTGCAATGGTATAAAGCCCAACTGCTTTTTGAATGGATCTTGGTAAGCTTAGGAAGGTTGCTTATGTGATGCAGGGGAGGAGTTTGCAGAATTCGGGGGGGAAATATCACCACTGAATTTTGCAGGTGAGGACTAGCATCTCTTTTGTTTTGAAGGAAAGGGCTTAGTTACCTGATATAGGAGAGAATGCTCGAGCTGAAAAGGAGGAGGCAGCCTGAAGTGTTTAAACCTTGAATATGGACAAGATTTAAGACAGACGTGACTTCAGCTTTTGCCAGTTGCCAGCATAAACCTTCCTGTCACAGGGCTTCTAGCCCAGACTTGGACAAGCCCATGAGGGGACTATACAACGATATCTTGTGGACAGCACTGGTTAAACCTAGCTTGTCTATAAAAAAATATCTTTTGCATACACCACATCGAGTTTTTTCAGTCTTAATATTTTATTATGATCACAAAAAAAGCGGAAATATCATATACCTCCAGACTGAGTGTTTTTACAATGCTTTCAACTTGAAATTCAGGCTCTATGTTTGAAAGGTTAATGTAGAAAACTAATTATATTATCCTGGTAACCAAATGTGTGATGAGACATTTGTCTGTGTAATTAACAGTGAAGAACTTTTATAGTTTCATAAAATCGAATGCTACGCACAGTGTGCTTGGAGCATTTGTTTTGAAGAGATGTCCAAAACAGAGATGTTTATGACTGATATAAAGTGGAACTGAAATGTACTGTAATGCAGGTGTCTGTGCATTTTACAGCATTTCGCATTGTTGAAATGGAAGGCAGCAGATTAATAGCTTTGCTATGTCATGGTAAAAATAAATAATGTGTTCTTGGAGCAGGGGAGCAATGCATAAGTTACTCACTAATTTCAAGAATTTATTCTGTCCCAGAAATAATATCTTTTGCAATTTATTCACAGAGCAAAAGTTGACTTAACACAAGTCTGTGAAGTTACTTGTTACTTTTAATAGAATTATATTGATTGTAACAATAGTAGCTTCTGTAATTAAGACTGCATAAAAGTTTATTTTATATATCTATGTTCTCCAGTGATCTAACTTCATAAAACATTTCACTTTGGGGCTGAAGCATGATCTTGACCTGGGATATTTCCAAGAACTGGGGGAAGTTGTTGCGTCCAAAGAAGCGCAACGAAGTTGGTGAAGGGTCTGGAGCACAAGTCTTACAAGGAGTGGCTGAAGGAGCTGGGGTCATTTAGCCTGGAGAAGAGGAGGCTGAGGGGAGACCTTATTGCTCTCTACAACTCCCTGCAAGGAGGCTGTAGTGAGGTGGGGTCTCTTCTCCCAAGTAATAAGTTCACCAAAATCAGTCAGGCACTGGCACAGGCTGCCCAGGGAAGTGGTTGAGTCCCCATCCCTGGAGGTATTTAAAAGCCGGGCAGACGTGGTGCTTAGGGACATGGTTTAGGGGTGGGCTTGGCAGTGCTGGGTTAACGGTCGGACTTGATGATCTTAAGGGTCTTTTCCAACCTAAACGATTCTATGATTCTATATGTATCATTATTTTTTTAATTATGTGACCTCGTTAATATATACATTTATTGTGGTTGCTTACTTGTCCTTTCCTGAGTGATTTAGCTGTTGCATTGTGGCATGGAAGTGTGTAACTTGTGCTTCTGTATCTGCTCCTGTTGGGTGTTTCAAAACTGTTTCACCAAGCTCTTCAAAAGAGTTATTTTCTGGTGGTGGTGGCCGGGCCACCTAGGCTGATCCAGCTTCCAGAGAAATAACCCCCCAAATCCTGAATGGTCCCAGGGTCTGATTCTCGTTTTGATTCTGCAAATTGCATTGCTTATGTTAGTGTTTGTGATGCTTATTAACTTTCTGTGTCTCATGGTAGGCAGGGGTGTCAATCAAGCTGTGTACTTCCCTGCTTGGTTTGGGAGTAGGGGGTCTACTCTGAGGGCGTTCCAGTTTTCCTGCAGGTATAATCTTAGTACTTTGTGTGGTGATATGAAGATAAGTAAGTGCTTTTAAATGATGTTTTAGAGCACTGCTAAGATGCCTCAACTAAGACAGCTTAAATATCCCTGTATGTTAGCTTCGGGTAGTCAAAGTCCCCGGCTCATAACTCATGTTGCTTGTGTGACCCTCTGACATTGTTCGTGACCACTGCTCTCCCTGCTGACT